TAATCCACCAAAAGCAAATGGTTCAATTTTAGGGACTTTTGCATCCCTTTGTTGAGCTCCCAAAACTTGCTTACCATGATCTGTACCAGGCACTTCGAGTTTAACAACGTGCTTACCATGTCTCTTCTCAAGCATATGTTTATTAGATCACACCCCTTTCCTGTTTTTCCTTAGTCTTCATTACTACTGTTTTCCCTTAGTCTCTATTACTACTGTTTTCCCTTAGTCTCCGTTACCAAATCAAACACAATCACATAAACTATGAACATGCACCTGGTAATGCAATCATATATTAAATCCCAAAATCACACAGTGGTCAAGTAAGACAGTAATACATGCATTTAAAATCCCAAACCAGATACCATCATGCCTTTAAACTGTAAAATAAATCAACAGAGAACAATGTCCGATTCAGGTTCCATTAGCAATCCGTAATTAATTATGCATAACTATTTAATTCGTACAAAACATCGTATTATTAATTATTTGAACTTCAATTCTATAATAGAAAATAGAGTGAAGGGTACTTAGTTGATTCGACACCGAAAACTAAGTGGTTACTGCGTCTACAGGCGGTCCTTGGATTCCCTAAATTTTTTTTGGGAATTGAAACGCTTACGGTACCTACAAATGTTCTAAATAAACCCAAAAATTAGTCTCAGGGCCTACTCGGCCAATTTTAAAAATTCAGCATAGTGGCTCCACCGTGCTCCGGCGACATCGCCTCAGCCCGCAACGACGATCCACCTCGGGTTAGCTATTTTCGGTCGAATTCAGTAAAATTTGTATCGGTTCCTGTGAGAAAATACACTTAGGACCTTCGGTGGGCTGAAAAAATGTAAAAAATCAAAACTCACCGGCGGTGGGGCTCTCCGGTGCGGTGGATCCTCTGGCTCACGTTGTGGTTGAGTGTTTTGCTCTGGTCAACCTGTAGAGAAAGAAACGGTGACCACAATGGTTGAAAAATCACATTAAACGGGAATCGGGAAGGGCCTCATCAGAGGCATTTTCTGAAACACCCTGCGGCGGCAATGCCGAGCTTCGGCGGCGTTTTTCGGTCAATTGGCCAGTTTTTTCACTCTGATT